CTCTATTGTTACAGAATACACTTTCTCTTTCATAAACACCCAAAAGCAAAAGTCCATGGGGTTAAGACCTGGACTTCTGGGTGGCCAAGAAATAGGTGCGTCACGACTCCTTCCAATCTACCGACCAAGATACTGCCTGCAAAGGTATTCCCGGACTTCATTACTGTAAACCGGTGGAGCGCCATCTTGTAGAATTCACATATTTTGCCTTATTGCAATATTCACTTCTTTCAAATACTCTTGTAAATTGTTTGCCAAAAACTGCAAATAATTATCACCTGCTGAAACCATAAACTGTTATCAAAACCCCCAGGGTTAGTTCTACTGGGGGATAAATTAACTAAAGTAGGTACGAGATATCCCCTTAAAAACTGAAGGTATGCTGGCCCGTTTAAATTACCTTCGAAAAAGTAGGGTCCGATGATTCTATTTTATGCAATGCCATGCATACGTTTACCTTTTGCGGATATTGTGTGTGATGTTACCGCATTCAGTTGGGGTTTTCTTTTGCCCAGTATCTACAATCTGACGGTTGACCTCGCCATTTAATGTGAATGTAGCCTTATCAGAAAAAATAATATTTTGAACCAAGAGTGGGTTTCGGTGGCAGTTATCCATTATTAATTCGCAAAATTGTTTTTTTTATCTGGATTATTCTCGTTTAATTCCTGTACAAGTGTGCATCTAAAGGGGTGCCATTTTTCAAGTTTTATTACTTTGTGTACCGTTGTTTTGCAAACATCAAGATCACGACTAACCTAGAATTCAAAAGCAAGAAGCAACATCTAATGCATCATAATTTACAGAGAGACCACCTGATTTGCGTGCAATTTCAACTGTACCAGCTTCTCGAAATTTCTTTTCAATCTTACTTACTGTTGACTACGTTATGGATTTTTCTGGATATTTATCATTAAATAAATTACACACTTCCATCTGAGTTCGCGATTTGTCTCCATACATAATCATAATAAGTATTTGAATTCTTTGCTTTTCACTCAAATTCATCTCTATTTCAAATTAATTCTAAGTAATAATACACAACATTATTAAACTACTTAATTGTTATTGACCGCTACTAAAAATAATTACATTTCACTAAAGATTATAAGTAGGCTACTTTTTTGCAATCGATAATAAATATAATTTATTTTCTATCTGAGAGCCCGAGTATTATACTTTTTTTTAGAATCAGCTCATTTTTATCGATCTAAAAATGTCATAAAATATAGGGTGTTACATTTAAAAAAGAAGACCACCTTAATGAATATCACCTTTTATAATGAAATTTTGTCGTAGAATGTAGATCCATAAACTTAAAAATGGGCGTGATTTAGATTTTTTTTAAAAAGGCTTTTAATTTGGGAAACATCGAATTTAATCCATACTTTACAGACACACTGTATGTTGTATAGACAAATGGAAAATAGTATATTACTTTATGAGGCGGAGAAGCATGACTTTTCTTGACGCGCCCGATATTACGCGCCGAACGAAGTGAGGCGCGTAATAGAGGGCAAGTCAAGAAAAGTCGCTTCTTTGCCAAATAAAGTGTACTATTTGTTCTTCAAACGTAGCAATTTTCAACCATAAATAGTACAATTCATACGCTATTTTTACTCGAAATTAACTGTGACAACTATCAAAATCGTCTAGATTTTAGAAATTAAAATAATTAAGTCGTCGGTGGGATTTGCGTCTCCCTGGTTACAGTTGTTTGCAATTATTAAAGACAGCTTATTGTTGTTGCAACCGCAAGCGCAAATTTAGTGCGAAAATGGAAAACCTAAACGAAATTGAGTCCGCGGCTAATGATGCAGTAGCACGTTTGGGGCCCTCCAAGTCCGGAATAAAGTATCGGTTAGCGTACAAGCACTTCCAAGAGTGGTGCGATACAAGAGGAGTACGGCAAGTTACCGAAGACGTCTTACTGGCATATTTTAATATAATGGAAAATGAAAATAAATGGAAATCTTCTACAATGTGGTCACGATACTCTATGATAAAATCCGAGTTAGTTATTAGAAAAAATGTGGATATAAGTAAATTTTTAAAGTTACGTGCCTTTCTGAAAAAAACAAGCGAAGGATATACTGCAAAGAAGTCTAAAGTTTTCACTAAAGACGAGTTTGATATATTTTTGTTTGAAGCGCCAGATAAGTTGTATTTAGGATTAAAGGTAAAAAAAATTATATTGCAAAGCATGTAGTATACCCTACTAAATTATAAAAATATTTCAGATTGTTTTGTTAATTGGGGTTACCGGCGCCTGTCGATGCGACGAAATGGTAAAAATGAAGACTGTGGACATTGAGGATAAAGAAAATGTAATAATTATCAAAATCCCAGACAGTAAAACACGACAAATTAGATCTTTTACGATAATTGGTCAAAACTACATTAAACTGTATAAAAAGTATGCATCACTGGCCTGAAAATTTCACAGAAAACCGATTTTTTGTCAAGTACCAAAATGGAAAGTGTTACCAAAGCGTCATGGGAATACATTCGATCAGCGCAGTAGCCCAAAAAGTAGCTAGTTATTTAAATTTAAACGATGTAAGCGCATACACGGGTCACTCTTTACGATGAACTTCAGCAACACTTTAAATTGATGGAGGCGGAAATCTAGAATGCCTCAAACGACATGGGGGCTGGAAATCTAGCACGGTTGCCGAAGGATATATAGAGGATTCAATAAGAAATAAGAACGATAATGCTCAAAAAATTTTAAACCCTCATTCATGATTCGCCAACATCGGGAATGATTGCTGAAAGTTGTTCTCCACCATTAGTATCATCAACAATTACCAATGCGTATCAAGAGTCGGGAACATTTTTGCACGGTTTCAATTTTGAAAATGCCTCATTAACTAATTGTACTTTTAATATTACTATAAATAAAAATGATGTTTAATTGTTGTTAATGACATTTGTATTGTTGCTTTGTGACATGTTTCGTATTGTTGCCATGACAACATTTTTCCCTTCGCCGTAAAGAAATGGGAAAAAAAAAACTGCTGCCAGTGGAGACATCAAACTTTGACAGGATCAAGTTAGATAAGTAATGTCATCATTATTTGACGTTTGAAGAAAAATAGTACATTGTTTACCGGGTAGGAAAAGCTTAACATTCCTGGACGACTGTGAAGATTGTTAAGCCGAGGCGCAAGCCGAGACTTAGCAACACAGAGTCCAGGAATGTGGCTTTTCCTACGAGGTAAACATACTATTTTTCCGCAAATCGTTTAAAATTCGACAGATATTAATTGATTTAAAAAAAACGCGATAATTTTATTCCCAAATAAATGGTGCTTTGAAATTCCTAATAAAATTACTTGGGTTACTATGGAAACGTATTGAGGTTGAATTGTCAAACTTGACGCTTATAAATTTAATTGCTGGTTAACACTAACAACTGTACGGAAATATCATTTCCTTACAGTAAGGAAATGACATTTCCTTACAGTAAGGAAGTCCTGACTTTTTCTTCGAGAAATTTTGACAGGAATGTCAAAATTTCCTGGCGATTTTCGGAAAAATATATTATTTCGCGGTGACAGTGTAGTAAATGTGTTTATACAAATTTAAATAAATTATGTATTTTTTAGTATACGTTTACTCTATGTCAGAGTAAGTTATCAGAGTAAGTAGGCCAAAAATGTGAAGTAACTGATACCCCTTTACTTGTTATTGTCAATCATCTGAATATTCTATCGGAATTTTTATTTAAAAGAAAGATTTTTTGGTATAAAACAAATTGATTTTCCAACTGAGATGAAGCAACCAGTGTTAGTGGATTTATCTGATATACAATAGTAGGGTGTCTCGTAGTATCAAGAAGAACTCGCAGAATTGCAGAATGATGAGTCAATTAAAATTATATTTAATATACAAAGTGATGGCACGTCCTTTTGAGGAAACAAAAATCAATTATCCAAATTCAACCAAATGTATAAGAAAACTATAGCATATTTTGCGTAAATGATTTACTGACAAAAAAAAAAAAAAAAAAAAAATAGGCTTTATATAATGCAACATGGAAACTTGAGACTGAAGCTAACCAAATTGGAACCTGATATAAAATCTCTGAGCAACAAGCATCAAGCGCAAGGATCTCACTAAATTAACATAATAAATTAATATAGAAACATCTTTATTATAATTATTTGGAATTTGAATTTAAGTTTTTCATTACATATTTTAAAAATGTACTTGCTGGGTTTCTTTAACAATTTCCGTGTGATTTCTTCTTAAAAACCAAGGGTTTAAGATTTCTTAAGTGAATAATTAAATTTTTTTTTTATTAAAAATTATGTATGTTATATAGGGGGGTATAAGAATTTGAGACAGGCTAAGGTGGGGTATGGCACAAAAGAGTTGGGAAATATTGTTCTAGAAGAAGAAGAATATTCCATTTGATGATGTTCTTTGCGTATGGGATATTAACGACATAAATATACAGTTCTTCAAGTCCAAGATCCTTATTTCTAATTTTTTCTTCGTTATTTTTAATATAATTTTGGTATAGTTAATAGTACTTTGTCTGTTTCAATCCTTTGTTGTTCGGGCTTCTAGGACCAAAAATTATCGAAGACAGAGTAGAACTAGTCAATTAAACCTTAGGCATATTAGATACAAATTCGATTTCTCCGAAAATAATCAAGATGTTTGACTGTTACATTCATGGACGTATGATTTTTATTAAGCATAAAAATCAACACTTTTCTCATAAATTTTAGAGTAATAAAATTAAGAACCGTATCAATCAACACACAAAAAATAATCGCACTTAGCGTTTTTTAGTGGGAAATTCATTTCTTACTAGAAAAATAATACTACAATATATTGTTCTGGGACGATGATTCAACGTGTATGCGACAAAGAAATTAGAACTTTCCAAAATGACTTTTTAACGATTTGTTTTATTACTAAACACAGTATTTATAGAAATCAAAGTATTTTTTTCGATAGTCAATAAGAATATTCGTGTTGTCATCATGAAAAGTCTGGTTTGTTTATTAGGTTTCGTGGCAATTGCTGTGGTAAGTTTTTTTTGTAAATTAGTTGATATATATATATTTATTTCTTTGTGACATTTTACTTTTGTAAATACTATAGAATGGGAATTAACTAAAATTGTGTAAAAAGATAAACTACGAAAATAATTTTCAAAACACCAGTTTTAAAAATATTTCATAGTTGAAATATTATAAGAAAATTTGAATTTTTTTCACTGTGTTTGCTGTAGTAATTAATACTTTTTTTATATCTTCTACGTTACCTTTTACTGCATTTCGGATGCTCCTCGTTGATTAACGTAACTGTTCTTTAATCTTATTCATTTACGAACATTTACGATACCGTATGATGCTGGAGGTAGAAGATCCTCTTTTCTTTTCAGATACTTCCAAATGAGTCTGTCCCTGAAATTCCTTAACTAGTGGCAATTTAAGAAGAGTTGAATAAGCTTTTATGATCTCAACAGTATGGACCTGTTGTTCGGTTATTTTTTACATTCTGAATTTTGATATCTCATTTGTTAACTCTATTTTGTGTATTACTCCGTTTTTATGTGTAAAACTGTTTAGAAACTTTTATAACTATCGGATTAATATGACCGTAACATCTGCATATTATGTAACATTATACTTACAGTTTTTTCTCATTCATACATATACCTTTATCTGAATCATAAGCTTCATTAAATATATTTTGGAAGCGTAGATTAAACGATAATGGGGACAATATGTATCCTTGTCTAACTTGAGGAGATAGATTTTATCCAATGAAGTAGAGATAGGTGTAATGTGATTGTTTGTTAGATGAAAGTGATGTTCTATACCATTGAATCATTCAAAAGTTATTTATATTTATTCAAGAGATATATTTATGAAATGTGTGTTATTTATTGAGATTTTATTTTATGAATATTTCACTTCGTCTATATTCTTCCTTATACATGCTTTCTAGCACCAATACAATAATTGTGATATAATTTTTAGACCTTTATCATTTATGCCAGTTTTTCAATGATTTGTATTAACTTGTGATGTACCTACACCATCCAAGGCTTTATGATAATCTATAAAATAAGCATAAAAATGTCTCTGTATCTCTGAAAAAACATTTGAACACAAAAAATGGCTTGTAGTACCCATTGCGTGTTTAAATCCAAATTGTTTTTTCTCACTGTGATTTCAGATTTATTGTATATTTAGTAGCAAAACTGAAAATCGAAATTTCATGCCAAAGGTTTTGAAGATTAGGTTTTAAGAATGGAAATACCATAGTGGCGGTCAATGGAAGTGACACATTTTATTGATCTCATAAGTACTGTAAAAATGAAAAAAATCGAGCAAGGTTTATTTATTTTACAAATTTATAGAAACGGACTTTATTTGCGGCAAAAAATGCGTACAAAAGCGGTTCTCTTCACCTTTAAAACGCATTTTGATTTTTGTCGATGGGACCCTCTGATCAAATTTGAAATGTCGTTGGGTTGATACAAATTTTATTTAAAAAATTGATTTCATGCGCGCCAAATTCAACGGACATTCAAAATCGCCGGTCGCTTCAAACGTTGTTTCTGAGAGTACGGCTGATTATACAGAAAAAGTGTTTTTGTCCATTGAAAAGTTCAAGTTTGTGGGGTCGACATCCTTGTCCCAGGACAGCCATATTGAAAAAACGGGGGAAAAGGAAATTTTATCAGACATTATTTATATCAAATTAAAAACCAACTTTATTTCTATTACTTTTAATACTAAAATAGAAAACAAAAAAGTTGTAAACAAAAATAACTAAAAATTTTGCAACAAATTTTGTTTTGGGCCTTATAACTTTTTTCTGGTAATTTTACAATAAAATAAGATCAGAGCAATATCATAGAGGATTTTTCGTAGAATAATTTTCACTACAAATTTGTTATTTCTCTGGATTTTACAGCGGTCCGAAGTTGGTTGCGTTACTCGCTATCTTGGAATAATGGGTGCAAAGGATTTTCGCGCTATATCGGGTAAACTGGCAACCCTACATAAAAACTAGTCCTCTAAGAAATGCACGCTAAGGCATAAAAATGTAACATTTCAATGGACCACTAATAAACATTTTTGTTCAAAATTATCTCAGATACATTTTTTATTTGAAAGATTTTTTTATGGCGTATAGATTCTTTTGTAAATCGGTGTTACCGCCCCCCCCCTACGAGGGGGTTTTAGGGAAAAGTCGTCTAGGAGTGGTAAACTTTCTTGCATCTTTTTGGGGATCTCAAATCTGACACTATCTGCTTTCGTTCGTATGATGTTTAGAGTGTTTTGAGTTTTTCTTCCAAAAAAGCTTTTATTCCTTAGTGACCATTCAAAGTTCTTTTCGTCCAATGCAAAATCGATAGTACATATTCTTCTTTATTCGGTGTTTTCAAATCATCTTTGGACATATAACATATATCTCCTCTAAATATGTCGGCTTTGTATCGTGTTCATCCATTTTTTCCTGCTTGGGGTGGGTTCGAAAAACTAAACTTTTTAATGAAGAGCAGGAGCAAATAAGATATAACTTAAATGAATATAAGAATGAAGCAACATTCTATAATAATAGTGTTGACATACGCAACAGAAACCTAAGGCTCAACAGCAAAAATGGTCAGACTCTATGGTCAGAAATAGCATTGTGCTCAAAATACCTGAGGCTCAATAGCAAAAATGGTCAGACTCTATGGTCAGAAATAGCACTGTGCTCAAAATACTAAGCCTCAAATCTTTGATAGTAGAATTTATTAGGATTTACAATATGATCAAAACGTAATTTTCATCATATCATCATAATTAATTGTTGTGAAAATATAGTTTGTTTTAATACCTTTTTCTACGTTGTATATTATATAATAAGTTTAACCATATAATAATGCCTGTTCCTTATCTAACAAAATGTGCAGATTCTATTACTGTTAAGATTTTACGTTTGTTTTAACAAAATGAAAATTGATTTTCCTTGTTTTAGGCCAACTTGCAAGATGATGTCGAACAAATGAATCAAGTATTACAAACTTGCCAAAGGAAGTGGCAAATCCCCCAGGATATTCTAACATACGGAGTTTCAAAGGCAAAACCGGAGGACAAGAATAGGATAGGATCATTTGCCCTTTGCGTTTATACGACTCTAGGATTTATGAACCGACAAGGAGATTTATTAGATACAAATATTAGACAGTATTATAGGGAATCAGAACAGGCTGGGGAAGTAAATATAGATGACATACTGGTGAAGTGTAGACCACCTAGAGGAACTCCCGAACAAAAAGCATTTTTCCATGAGGAATGTATGGAAAACCTTCAGGTAAAACCAACGATTTTGTTACTGTTAAAAGGTTCAGTTTAATTTATTTCCAATTTTTATCTAACCATTAATTTATAATTAAATGTCAGTGAATATTAGGATGTTACATATTATTGTAATTACTTTATAATACAGGAAACCATTATCAAATGTATTTTAAGTATCACATCATATGATTCATAGGTTGTGCGTCAAATCTGACGCAAGAAATGCAGTTAATACTTTCATCATGACACAAGCTGTATTGTGAAAGCTGTAGCCACTTTTAATACGAAATCCTTTGATATAAAGCGATTAGATTAATTTGAGACTTTTCTTTACAATTTTTAGTGCCTTCGTCCTGCCTTATTGATAAGTTCATGCGTGCTTTATTTCAGTTTGAAGCCTCAATTATCCCTTAGTCTTCCGTTTTTTCCATTATTTCTATATGTTGACTTCATTCTATTTTTCTTTTTTTGTCTAGAGGTTTATTTCCTCTATTTCACATTTCGCTCCAATTTCCTCACTGCTTACTATCTCATAGAGTTGGGTTTGGTGTTTTCCTAAGACTTTCATTTCTGCTGTTTCCAATAATGTTTGTATAACCGGAAGTAGCAAATTGATAAAAATATTTTCATTAAGTCCCATACTCGAAAATTCTAACGGTGAATTTCAGTAGGCTATCTCTATTTTAAAAATGTCTTTCTCTAAAAAAAAAGTATGGGAACAATATATAATCCATATGTTCCATTACGAGACGGAAAATGAACAAGATATAGGTGAAGAAGAACAATAACTACAAATTTTACCCTCAGAAGTAAAACATGCCCTACAGAACGCAAAACAAGGAAAAGCACCGGGTCCTGTTCAAATTTCAGTTGAACTGTTGAAAGCTTTAGATGACAGTAATATAAAGAGACTCACCCGAATTCTCAACCACATATATGTAGAGGGCAACATCATGAAGGAATGCTTAAATCGATATTTTTACCTCTACCAAAAAACAACAATCCCAAATCATGTAATGACTATATATTGATAAGCCTAATGTGCCACCCTTTAAACATTCTCTTGAAAATTGTTCAAAACCGAATTTATAAGAAATGTGAGGAGCAGATAGATCAAACGCAGCTGGGCTTCAGAGGAGGCATGGGTACAAGAGAGGCATTATTTGCGTTGACGGTACTCTTGCAGAAATGTCGGGAATATAACAAGAGTGCATATGTATGCTTTATAGACTTTAGGAAGACCTTTGACCGAGTGCAGCATATTAAGTTAATAGATGAATTAAAAAAATAATATACCGATTGCGAGAGGGGTCAGGCAAGGATGCGTCTTGTCTCCGACGCTTTTCAACGTGTACTCACAGGTCATATTCAGAAAAGCCTTATGGGAAAGAAAAGAAGGAATAAGAATTGGTGGAAAAATCGTAAACACCATGAGATTTGCATATGACACGGTAATTATGGCTGAAAGTATAGAAGAACTACAAACTTTACTAGATGCAATAAATAGTGAATGCATTCAAATGGAACTTGTCATCAACACAGATAAGACCAAAGGCTATAGCGGAATAAGATGGTCAAAAGTGCCCCCGCACTGATAAGTACCTCGACTTGTGTTTTCAATAAACCATACAAAAACATTAAACAGACTTCATACAAATTGTTAGCTTCCCAGAGCCCATGGAACCCCGTAAATCTAAAAAAGAAGCTTTTTTCAACTGTATTTTTTTCTGAAAAACTGAGTTTTGAGGTTATCTGCAAATAAATGAGTAAAAAACGTTTTTTTTTTTATTTTTCGATGTTTTCCGCTCAGAAATTGAAAATTCTGCCTTGGCCATTTAAGAGAACGAAAAAAAAATACATAAAAAAAGACTATTTAAAAGTTAGCCAAAAATTATTAACATAATATAATTATTGATACATTAAATATTTACTAAATAATTATTGAACATTTCAATGATTTTTCCTGAGCTCAATTTTTAATATAAAAATCTGAAAAATATCAGGGTATTTTGTAATCGAAAGATACATCTTCTTGAATTTTTTCAGATTTTTTAAAGCAAAATTGCGTCAAAAAAAAATAAAGTCGAAAAAAGCTTCTTTTTTAGATTCAAGGTGTTCCATGGACTCTGGGAAGCTAAAAGTTTATATGAAGTCATGTTTTTATATGCTGTATTATTGAAAGCACAAGTCGCGGTGCTGTTCGGTGCGATGCACTTTTGACCATCTTATCCCGCTATAGCCTTAATGATAGAATCAAGGAGTCCAATTAATAACGAACAACTAACCCTTGGTGGACAGCAAATGGAGAGACAAAATATAAATATCCTAGAGCTTACATCAACACAGAATTAGATCCAGACCAAGAGATCAGAGTACGAATAGAAATGGCAAGGGCAGCGTTCTTAAAATTCAAGCAATTGTTCTGTGACAAAAATCTGAATTCTGCGCTGAGACTGAGGTTTGTTGAATATTACGTCTGGTCCCAACGGAGGACCAGACGGTACGGGGTAGAAACATGGACGTTAAAACGCAAATAGTTAAGAAGCTCGAAGCCTTTAAACTTTGGATATACCGGAAAATGTTGAGAATTCTGTGGACTGCCAGGGTCATCAATGAGGAAGTGTTAAGAAGGATGGGTAGAGACCAAAATTGTTGAGAACAATAAAAGTACGCAAGACTGCATATCTTGGACACATACTGAGAAATGATAAATATAGTCTTCTACAGGTTATCATGGAGGGTAGAGTCGATGGCAAAAAAAATATAGGTAGAAAGATTAAGTCATGTCTGCGAAATATTCGAGACTGGACAAACATGACTGTAGACGAAATATTCCACGTTGCAAAAGACGGAGAAACTTTTAGAAATGTGTTCGCTAACCCCCCATTAATGGGGACGGCATAGGAAGAAGAAGACCAAAACAAAATCTGTTTATGAAGTAATACTCTAAGCGTCGTTTAGATATCTCTCCAGGTATAAGTCCAGGTCAAAAACGTTTTCATCTTTTACTCGAGCCTATTATACAACCGGGACAACCCCTAAAGTGACAGGCTTGAGGCAATAAAACCATAAACTTAAGTCGCGGTCTTCTCTTTAGAGGTGTTACGGGTAATTGGAATAACAGACCAGAGTAATATTATCTATTAATAAAGTTACAACGTAACAAAGGTACACACATAATTTTTTGTTACTTTTTTACAGAAAAATTAGTTTTTTCCATAATTGAAAAAAAGAACTGAATTTTAACGTAGATTAGGTAAAGTTGACCAAAAATGGACAATTACAACAAAAATATAATTATATTTTATAAGAATTTGATAAGTTTCAGGATCATTAAAATCGTTAAAATGAAACTATATAAATATAGAATTATGTGTAATGTTTCTTTAAAAATGAATCTTGTAATTTTGGTATAAGTATATGGTATTTGGTATAGCATATTTTCCCACAGTTATATTCGCTCCGAGGGTTAACAAAGTGTCAAAACCAAATCGACTGACCTGCTTATGGTGGGATTGCTTGAAATTTTATCAGGACGCTTTTGTGCATGGTACAATGAACATATTCATTTTACCATGGATATTAATAATAAATATATTTCCTGACTTTCGCAGATTATGTTAATAACTCTTTATTAACGACAAAAAATATTTTTGTTGAACTATAAATGTCACTATAAATAGATAACTAATTAATTCTAAAAATTGTATCCGGATATTAGCACTACAAAATAAAATATTTAAGTTTAACAAAATAATCCCATAAGACTCAATACTAAAACGTCCCCACAAATCTGACAGCGTGTCACGTGACTGTAAATAGAGGGGAGACCCACTGAGCGAATATCTTTATCAATATTTTTGAATAAAACACCTTTTGGGGCCCATACGGCAAAACTAACACTATTCTCTATTCGGTATAAATAACTCTTCTTGCACTTGATAGTAATAGGAATCAATTCTTTTTAACTGTTCACCTATAAAGCTTATTCACCTTAAACAATTTCTGTTATTGTTTAAACAATCAAACATATAAAAAAATAATTACCTTAATATCTGCCATAGTTTTTGCGTTATTTTGTTTAAACGTTAGGTTACCTTCTTTATCGGTAAGGTTGTATAATCGTATATTTTTATGGAGCTAAGCCACAATTAATTGAATTTTTGATTAGCAAAAATTTTACGTTTCGATTTCCACTCCGTTTCAATCGTTTTCAAAAAGATTATTTCAGAATTTTGTTGAGAGTGTACAAACGTCAAAATTAAGGTTATGTGAGGTTATGTATCTTTTATTTTGCATAGCACCAGCCCACTTTATCAGTTTTGATTGAATTGAGTATTCAATTAAATTGAATATTGAAATATAATTCAATATTTAATAAAAAATATCATTCAAAATTCAATATTGAAATTGAATACATGGTGCTTCTTTTGTAGATCTTCAATTTCAAGATACTTCTCTTTAAACCATGATTTTTTGCTGTTCATATTTTTCATATTTCTTTCTGTGTATTGCTATATTTTTTAATAACTCAGTTTTAAAACTTCCTCCTTTTTTTCATAAGACTTAATATATCATCATACATTCACTGTTTTTTTATATTTGATTTTGACTGTCGAAAGTAATTTTGTTTATGACAGTTTGAAAATGATGGCAGTGATCTGCAGTATTGTGAAGCTTTATTAAATCAATTTATTGTTACCTATCATCAATTTATGTTGTGTAGTTTATTTTATTAATATATCCTAATTAACAAATTAATTAGAATAGATTAAATAATGAAATTAAAAATGTTAAATTTGTTTCAGTCGGGAAGTCAGGATGAATTAGTGGAACAGTATTATACCAAGTGTCAACAACAATTGGGACTTTCTGACGAATTTCTCAAAAACAGCCAAGATAAAACAAAATTGGGCAGATTCTTCTTATGCATATACAGTAGTTTAGGAGTATTAACTTCAAGGGGAGATCTCATTGAAAATGAAACAACACCAAAATGTAGAGTGTCGCCAAATCTGTCTCCTGCACTGAAAGCGTGGTATTATCAAGAATGCTTCAAAAATGCAATGCAATAAAGCAAAACTGAAGTGCTTCTTTCATAATAAAGTAAATAAGACTGTCAAAACTAATAATTATTTAAGAGTAATAAATTTTTAATAAAATTAAAGTTGTATTATTTACCATACTGCTCATGCAGTAAAAATACTACGCTGAACTCAAAATTGGAGCCTACAATATTTAAGGCGCAGATCCCTACTACGTTAATCTTATGTACTCGATCATAAACAAGCTACTAAATTCAGAGTGACACACAGAGAACAATAGAACGACTCATACTTGGAATAACTTTGAAAGAAAAAATCAAAAATAAAGCAATTTAGAGACCAAACAAGTATCGAGGATAAAGAACAACTGACTTTACTAGAGTTGAATCCAAGCGGAAACAAAGAAGTTTGCGACCACCACTAACCGATGTGTAGCATTTTCATTTCATCCCGTATATAATAAAACACCAAAAAAAGATTCTTAATTCTTCTTTAATCTTTTTGCGTCTCTGAGATTGATAATATAAGCATTTTCTAGTCTGTTTATAATAATTTTAATTGCTATTTCGTTTGATCTTAATTCTGCCTAGTTATTTTTTTTTCTCCAGATCATGTAAGAAAAAACAATTACATTTATAATAAAACAGCCAGCTTAATCCTAAAATGCGAATATTGTCCGCTTACTACCAATATCCAATTATAATTTTAATAAAAATATTTTAATAAACATGAAACCCGCCACACTTTAAATTAAGACACACCCACCCGCCCACCAACTACAGCAAAAAAATGAAAATATATTTTTATAATAAATCCTAAATATATGTACCTGTATAGCTAGCTTTTTAGCCTGTTTTCCAACGTCTTTACAAGTTGACTGCAAATTTGTGATAGCGAAAACGCCTTTGAAAATGTAATTTTCCATTACAAGATTCTTAACATGTATTATACACACACCACTGAAATCTTTACTCGTAATACGAGTATATTACTAAATAACTAACACCAAACAACCAGTTTGACTATAAGGTTTTATTGGTGTATGAGATCATATTTCCCGGTAACCGCTCAGGTGCTGATAGAACAATGTAATAATTTACGAGACACAAACACCTTTGCGGTTTTTCTGAAAAATTATCAAAATTTGTTTTCATAGCGATTTTGTAAACAAAATAATAATTATAGTAATATAGTGTATATGTGTAGATCTGTTTTATATGATAAAAATATGTGGTAACACAGTTGAATCTTCATGAGCTGAAAAAATTACATCACACAACTACTAAAAATAATTTGTCTTTGTGGATATAACTGTGATTTCCATTTTTTTCTTTTTTGAACATGTTGCATAATCGTCTGCCACCACATTTTTTGGTATTTTTTTATTCAACTATTTACAGTTCACGGACTAGAAAATCACTATGTGCCGTTGGCATTCCTTTTGCTTTCAAATAAGTTAACAAACTCATATATGACTGCCTTAAATTGTTTAAAGACGGAGTGTCAAAAATTGAACTTAAATTTTAGTCCCAAGGTTGTGTATGCCGATTTCGAAAAAGCGATCCATGCAGCTGTAAGTGAAGTGTTTCTATCTGCGAAAATAAAAGGATGTAGGTTTTATCTTGGACAATCATAGTCGAGAAAAATTCAAAAAGTTGGTCTGGCTACTGAGTATTCAAACAAACGACAATGAAGTCGGACAATACCTTAGATATGTTTTTCCACCTTTCTTAGATCCATTAGAAGTATGGTGAGTATTTTGATTTAGACTTTAGTGAAATATTACCAGCACAACACCAAGCCGTACAACAATTTGCTGACTACTTGGTGGACAACTATATTTCTGAAGAGGCAGACTTCCCCCCTGAGTTGTGGACGGAAAACAGGTCATCACTTTAGCGTACAACCAATGCCTGTGAAAGTTTCCATTCTAAATTTAATTCGTGATTTTACAATCCACACCCTAACATATTTCAATTTTTAATATAAGCATTTTCTGCATTATCTGAAAAGATATTCAAATTGACACTTATATAAAAATACGAAGTTCTGTGAAACCAAAAAAAGTGTACCGAAAAGTACTTCTAGAGCGTCAAAAATTTGTTGGTCACAAAATAGCGGAATTAAAGCAAAATAAAATTAGTAGATTTGATTGTGTCAAATGTATTTCATTTAGATTTCTAGCGAAATAAATGGCTCGTTTTAATTTATATTTGTTTAATTTTGTAATGCCTCTACACAAGTGGGTTTAAAGATCAATAACTCAAAAACACAAGTGATGACAAACCTTGTTCTGAGTGAGAACATCAACATAGCTGGAACAAGTATAGAACAAACATCAGCATACAAATATCTGGGGCACGAAATTCGCTTAAGTAGAGATAACCAGACCAATGAACTAATACGTAGAATAGGGTTGACATGGGCAGCTTATGGAAAGCTAAGAGATGTTTTCCAATCAGCTCTTCCCATCTGCTTGAAGAGAAAAGTCTTCGATCAATGTGTGCTGCCGGTTCTAACCTATGGTGCGGAGACGCTAACACTTACTAAGACGTCCGCAAACAAAATTCGAACAACACAGAGAGCAATGGAACGGTCCATGTTGGGATTAACCCTGAAAGACCGAATACCCAACACAGAATTGCGCCGTAGATCGGGAGTAACCGACGCAATCAAAAGAATATCAACCTTAAAATGGAACTGGGCAGGGCAGGTCGCGAGAACGAAGAACGGCAGATGGACAAAACGCATTCTTGAGTGGAGACCCAGACAAGATGCCTTTAGGAATAGAGGACGACCACCAACAAGATGGACGGATGACCTGAAACGGACACATCAAAATTGGATGCACGCGGCTCAGGACAGAAATTTGTGGGGTGAACTACGGGAGGCCTATGTTCAGCAGTGGACGAGTATGGGCTGAATGATGATGAATTTTGTAATGGTAGAGAATATCCCATATTATGTTGGTTTTTAAACTTGTATTACTTTCTTATTATACCTACAATTTAGAATAGGCACAAAAATTATTTCAGTAATTTTTAAAAACAATTCAAAATTTCTAATATAATTTCTAAATCAATCACTAACATTTTTCAAAATACTTTTCATACGTTTACAAACAGTAATGAGCACGCTAATGACCGACAAAAGATGGAAAATATATTTAGTTGTGAGATAAACAGAAATTAAACTAGTGGAGATGGGAAATTTAGCGCTAGAACCTATAAATTTACATTTCATTTATTGTTTCTCACCTATAGATGTAAGAGTTTTAAAACTAACGCTGTGATAGTGACAGTTTTAGTTGACATCCTCCTCTGATACGTCCAAAGGTGGGAAACAGTGAATATAATGTAAAACAGGTTTCTATCGCTAAATTTCTCATCTCTACTAGTTTCATCTCTTTCATCTTACAACAGGGGTGCTCAAACTTGAATTGCTGGCGATCTACCTCAATATTTTTAGACTACTTACGATCGACTCTGAGAGACTGCAAGTGTGTGTGATGCAGGGTTGTCGTACATACACGATACACCCTACCTACCTAGATAGGACGTACCGTAGCATATATAGATATTAGCTTTCTGCACAATATAGGTACATTATTTTAGTCAAGGTTTGGGTTAGGTTTAGTTAGGTTCTTCTCTACAATATCAATGAAAAAACTCATATTTATTCAAAATTGCGAGTTTATTTGTTGTTACAAAACAAAAGAGTTACATATGGTGTTAAACTTAACTAAGGAGTGGCTTTGGATGTTGAAGCGTGGCACTGCATGTCCTCAGCATACTTTTCATAAGATGGTACCTAACCACTGAGTGCTAATCGCAAGCATGATGTCATATGATCGTCAGTTAGTCGATTGCGATATTTTGACTTAATTATCTTCATTTCAGAAAATGCAGACTCGCACAAGTAAGTTGACCCAAAAAATGCCGTCAGTTGAAGGGCGATTTGCCTTACATTCGGATATTTATCTTCAGATATAAAACGCCAGAAATTTGTATCAGATACTGTAGCTTTGAGATGTATATCTGATATAATCTGCACCAACTCATTTTCAACAGAACATGAGTTCATATTAAACTGACTTGCTATTTCAGTAGCTAATTCCTCAATGTTTTTACATGAAAAAGGATAACTCATAAATGATAACGGTATGATAACGGTGTTTAAGTGCATTGTTATGTCAGTCAAAAATGCCAAATCATTTAGCCATTTTTCGTTTTTCAAAATCTGAGTGTCATCACCTCTTTCGTCTACAAAAGCTGTTATTTCGGGCAATAATTCTTGAAACCTTTCTAGGAATTTTTCGCGACTCAACCACCTGAGGTCAGTGTGAAGAACAAAATCAGTGTGTTCAGCTGACTCCCTATCTTCCAACTGCAACTGAAAGAGCCGCCGTTGCAAGCTACGTGCACGGATGGAATTCACAATTTTTGTTGCAATGCCCGTAATTTCCTCCGTGTTTAAAACTTTTGAACACAAAACTTGTTGATGTATAATGCAATGGAATGAAAAAAATGAAGGGAATTCTTCATTAGCTCGACACAATGCCACAAAACCGTTTTTGTTTCCAGTCATTGCTGGTGCTCCATCGGTTGTAATGCACATTAATTTATATATTGGTAGCTCGTAGTTTTTTACAAAATTTAAGAAAACGTCATATATATCTTCGCCACGGGTCTTCCCCGTCAGAGGAATGATTGTCAAAAATTCTTCCTTAGCCAACATGTCATTGAATACCATCCGAATAAAAATACACAGCTGGGCAGTGTCTGTCATATCGATGGATTCGTCGAACTGTAAAGAAAAGTATGTACATTCCATGATATCATGTTTTAGTTTATTTGCGATGTCTTGACTCATGACTTCAATACGCCTTGTGACAGTCGGACGAGATAACTGAAGTTCTCTAATAGCAGACATGATTTCTGTTTTATTTTTAAAATCTCCAAATAAAGTCTCACCCGCTTCAATAAATGCTTCGTTTATCACCGATCCATCTTCAAATGGTTTCTTGTGTT